ACCCCATGCCTGCCCCAAACTCCTCCCTATGCAGCCCTAAGTCTTGTTTCCATCCTATCCTGTCCTCATGCCGTCTTAGCTCACCCGCCATCCTTTCACACGTGCTCATCCTTATTAACGACGGATGCGCGAATAGCTTCTGGTTAACCCGCCCCCGGCCGGGGAAGTTGACTACCTCGTATGTTTTTTTTAGCACAGCTAAAAAACGAATGTTTACAGAAAAACCAGTGTCAGTACCTTGTCATGCATCAATTTGGCATCTTTTGCGTGAATTTTAGGGTTTTATCTGCCAAGGTCAGTGACTTAGGATATGTCAAAGAGGTCAACTTTAAAAAAACGTTGACTTAGCATATTTGTTTGGGGTACATCGATTATCATTGCTCAAAAACCATGCTGTCGTGATAGAAAATGTTAATACCTGCAACTTGCATCTTTGAGGTTTTTAAGAAGGCGAGTTCGTTGACCTGGGGTGAGGCAAATTTTTGCTATGTTTCGTAAATAATGCAAGCTTGTATGCATTTCTATGCAGTTTTGGTGTCTGCATATAAGGAAAAGAGTACTGACCCACATGCGCAACCATCATATGACCATAGCGCACATGATACTGACCTAGGTCATGACTTACCTCTATGGCTTCCTTTTGCAGCTCACATGCTGAGCTCAAAACAGGCAGCTTTTTTCGAAAATCTTGGACGCAGAATTCAAGTACTGCACTAAAAGCATGCTGTGATATCACATTAAGGCACAATCAGGTCACAGTAAGCAACGTGGAGACACGCGAGATCATATGAGGTCATCCAATGTCACTGATCCCTGTTGTCAGTGGTGGAGAGGCGAAATGAACGAGTGGGACGCGCGTGACCACTTCGATTTCGTGTTAATGAAGCTGATATATAATCTCATGAGTCAGTGTGCCTGTTCTCAGTTTGTTACAACTACCGCGCCAAACATTAAAGGGACTCTGCGCAAGGTATACAAGAGCAATGCGACCTGGGGTGCCTCTAGATGTACAGCACACCATTTCTGACAACAGAAAAGCATAGTACTGGTCACTTAGACCAGGTTAGCACTCGGTATTTTTCATTTGAATGGTTTATAAATTTCACCTAAGTTAACCTCAGCTGACCTCTATGTCAGCTTAAAATGGTACTGCGATACTTCAAAGGGTACTGATTTGGGATACTTTTGTCCCACAGCCGCAACTCATAAGAAGCTAGTCAAAGACACATTATGACAAAATGCAAAAGCGTATCGTTCCTGTAGGCTACTGGTAGCCCAGTTTGATCGGTGGTCTGGCTGGAATGGACTTCCCAGAATTAACGGTTGCTTCCGTGCTCTCACATTTTGTTTTGACTTGCTAACTTATATTTTGACTGCATTTATCAGGTGACCTTTTTCTTTGGTGAACTTTTGTAACCTCTCATTTGCCCTAGAGTCAACAATTTGGTGTGCAGTCTTGATGAAACTTTCACAGCAGTGTTTGCTTTTCTCGTGCGACGTCCAGAAGTTGGAGGTCCCAGGGCGGGGAATCAACTTCCCCCTGCCGGGTGTGGTTGTCTCAGACCACCGGCCTGCGCAGGTTCTGTGCATGCATAAGGAAATACGATCATTAACAATATTTATTAGACGATGCATGCGTTCAGTAAGTTTAGTGGCTTAAGGGAGTGTTTTACGTTTGCATAGGGCTTCGAAGTGAAACTGCCATTTTGAAGACCCTTCAGTGCTGTTCACAACCCTCCCCTTCTTATAACCTAAGCTCCTCTGTTTTCTTAACTATGCTCCTGCGAAAATGGGGTGTGTATGTCGGGGAGGGTATTTCAAAGCAATTTTGGCGTTCATGGCGTCCTAATAACAATCTTCAAATCATGTCATTCCCTCAGCCATACAGCGATCAAGGCCAATAAAAACACGATTACCCTCGTGTTCGTGAGCACGATTTCCAAACATAGCAACCGTTCATTGGCATCAATTAATGCTATGCAAAGTAAGGTGACTTAATCAGGCCACGACGCATTGAGAAGCATAGTTACTTAACAGACGTTTGCAGACGAGAAAAATTTTTCCACTTCAAAACTGTACCAATAGTTATAAGTGAGCTTATCTCATCCTACCAGATGCTTGCTTCAGTATTTTCAAATGTGAAACATTCCTTTTGATATTTGTTGTCCTATGTATATATAAATATATATATATATATATATATATATATATATATATATATATATATATATATATTATGACAACAAATGTAATTGTTTTATTGCAAAAATGATAATATTATTGTATTAGAAAAACAATTTATATATATATATATATATATATATATATATATATATATATATATATACATATGCAAATTACATATAACATATATTTATAATGTAAGTCGTATGACAATCTAAAATGCATACAGGATTAGATTAGATTAGATTGGACATGGATATAGGATTACGGTGTACATTTTAATCATTCCAATCCGGCCGAAACCTGGTGACTAGGCTTCGTCACATGAAATACGTTGCGCCGACCATCATCAGCGCAAAAGCCTCGCCACCGTGCATGCGGCGAATTGGCCGCCTACTGTGCAAACTGGTTGGTTGGCCGACAACAAACCTGTAGTAAAATAGTGCTGTGGACAGCTTTGACCGTGTTTGAGGCCTACAATTGAATCGGAAACGAATGCCTATTGAATGGCTTGTGTGGCCTGCGTGTACTTAGTACCAGCACATTAGACATTACACATACGGATCGTACGCTGCTACACATGTTGCACCATTAGATCTATAACTATACATACAGTTATAGGTCTATAGCTAGACAGACACAGCACAAACTATATCCGCATATAGTCTAATACAGCACGCTTACATCAACTTTCCTACATAACAGACATTGCCTGAAGCCTCTCAAAAGGTCCCAGAATCAAATCGCAGGATTCCAGTAATCCACGCCCGACCGAGTGATGGCGCTGACTTCGCCTACCGATGCTTTTTAAAGCACAAATTCCAAACGGACGCTCGTAGCAACACCGCAATTTCAGTAACTGTTAATCTATCAAAGTGACATCTTTTGTGCAGATTTCAACTTTTGATCTGCCAAGGTCAGTGACCTACATTAGGGTCGAAGGTAACAACGTCTAAAACTTTCACCCCGCGAACACTTTTGTGAGCAATTTGCCATTGCTCAAGGTGTAGAGTATTATGATATGTCGCTGCTCTTAGTTTGTATATTTTATAGTTTTCGAAACAGGCAACGCCGGTGATCAGAAGTCAAATAAATTCTGCTATTATTTTCGTACATAATGCAACTTTATGCGTGTTTTGTGTATTGTTGTCGTTTATATATGAAGAAAAGAGCACAAACTCACCTGCGAAGCCATCATATGACCACAGTGCGCATAACCTCGGCCCACGTCATGACCTACCTATAAGAGTACCCTATGCAAAACACACGCTGAGCTCAAAATAAACAGTTTGAATGGGTATCTGTTGGCGCGGAATTCGTATACTCCGCCGAAAGCATGTTGTTAAATCCTTGTAGCGCATAACAAAGTCACCATATGCCACTTGCAAACATGCAAGGTCAATTAACTTTGTTGTCAGCAGCGGATACTAACGTCCTTATTCTCAGTTTATTACAAATGCAGTACCAAGCGTAGAAGGGATTATGCATAATGTATTTAACAGCTTTGTAATCTTGAGTGGCTGTAAATGTACAACTCCTTTTTCTAACCACAAGAAGACATTCTACCGGTCACTTAAATCCAATTAACATATGTCACATTTGCATTTAAATTGCTTATAGAAGTGCCCTAAGTTGACCCCATCTCATCCTCAGGTCAGCATGAAAAGATACATTTGTGTCTGAGATACCTTTGTCCCACGGCTGCTCCTAATAAAATAAACTTAGTCAAGAGCACATTGTGAAATAAGACACAACAAGATCGTTTTTGAAGACTACTGGTAGACCAATTTTGAACGCAGACCTGACCTGCCCTGATCCTTGTGGAAGGACAGAAATAGGCGAGATAGACTTCCTACCAGCTAACTGTTTACTTTCGTTCTCTAAATCTTTGTTTTGACGTGCTGGCATATCATTAACTGCAAGTGTCAGAACAATCTTTTTAACCTTTCTTGACAGTTGGCGATCTTACGTTTGACATAATGTCTAAAATTGTGTGTGCATTATTTGAGATGACGAGACCTTCACAACCATACTTTTTTCCTAAAAAATGTCTGGAAGTTGTAGATGGGGAGTCAGCCCTCCCCCCCCCCCCCGGCCGTGACTGTTTTCAGGCCCCTGGCCGAGGACAGGTTGACATGGAACCAAATGGGACCCTGGATTCACCATTGGTATCCAGACACAGGTTTATAGTACATGACATAGGCCATGTATTTTTATAGAGGCCATATATGTAGATCAAGTCGCATTATGATGTGCAGATGTGTATGTTATTGTGTCATACAGTTGTATAGGGATGTTTTGGAGGCGTGTTAAGAAATGTGTCAAGAGACTGAGAGGTGGCTTTGTGTGACAAATTTTGTGCAAATTTAAGGTCAGCGACGCTTTCATGTCGCGAATCCAGTAGCGTCGTGTTGACGTTTACGACCGACATTTGCTCTCCGAACATATCAACCACATGGGCAATGCTGCCGTCCAAAGGTAAAACGTCATGTACTCATTTCTAGACATTTTGCGCTTTTTATGTCATCTGATTCGTCTTGTCATGCTGCATTCGGATATTTAAACCAATAGTTGAGATTTTCACAAACATTTGGCTAAGAGAAAGGCTAAGGGTTTGTGAAAATTTTAACTGATTGTTTGAATAACCGAAATTAGCACGAGTACATGGATCAGATGACATTAAAACCGCAAAATAGCCAGAACTTAACAGATGGGGTTTCACCTTTGGACGGCCGAATGTGCCCTCTAAGGCCCATCGTTTGTGACATCGCGGTTGACCATCAGGCGAACCCGGGATGATGACCGCCCCCTTGCAGGACACCGGCCACCGCCGGTGGTCCACAGTCGGTGCCAGGATATTATGAAGTCGCGGTACCGCGCTCTGGATGAGTCCGAACTGAACGACATCATGCGGAAATTCAGCCTGATCCGGTGCGAGTCTGGAGGCCCGCCACGCGCGTCCGACCACTTGCCTGCCGCGGCTTCACGCGCGCCTGGCTGAGACGTGACCTGGCTGTTGATGAAGTGCTGTGTATGCGTTCACCCTTAGAACTACACGGAATTCGATATGTATTGCCTTTTTGGATGTTGTTTCGATTGGTCGTTTGGTTGCTCATAAATGGTCAAGTAGTCATGCTACTGATAGAGTAAGCACATCAAAAGACACGATGCAGTGTTAAAACACAGATCCAAAAGTTCATCAAGGTAACTTTATGTGAATTGCTCGGAGATTTTCTGCTGAGAGTAAGGCTGACTCTGCGGGCGCCGGCAGCGAAGCTGAGGTGAGCGAGGAGGTGCGTCAGCAGCTGCGCATGCCGACCTTCGACAGCTGGCAGTGGACGCACGAAGAGATGCTCCTGCTGCTGCAGCAGATGTTCATCGACCTCGAGCTCATGACGCGCTTCGCGCTGGAAGTGTCCACTCTGCGCCGCTTCCTGCTGCGCGTGTTTGAGAACTACAACGTTGTGCCCTTCCACAACTTTCGTCACGGCTTCTGCGTGACGCAAATGGTGAGTAGGTCACGCGGAACCCGCGTGATGTGACTTTCCAGGGCTGTCCTTTGGGAACTTGGCAGCAAACGTTCTGGTCTATACTGATTGAGAATTTGCGGTGTGGCACACTCCCTAGGGGCCTATGACATTTCAACCATTTATTATAATACATGTCAGCAAGGAATGCATTGAGGTCCTGTTTTTTTGGCATTATAAGCGTGAAGTTCTCACGTTGACAAAAATCGACTTTTAATATGTCATAAATTATGATGAGGTGCGTGCGTATCCCAGGAGGCATACTGAGTCGGCGTATATACCAGGAGCTGTTCAACGACGAGCTCTTGATTACGGGCAGAGCCTGAAACATCATGTTTTGACGATATGTGAAGTGTTTGGTTCATGGCATCGTTGAACCAGTACCTCCTGACGTTTTTGAGAGTCGATTGTTGTCAGCGTTACACTGGGGGGACTGTGCTTAGTTTCACGTTGGCGTTCGGCATTTTTGCGAGAGCGTTGCTTTTATTTTCTCTGTTTTTTGTTATAGCCAATGTGTGGGTGGTAAACATTTCCACCACCGGCACCGCCTACCGCACCAGCAACAGGACCAGACGGTGTTTTAAGCGTGCTGTGCTGTCTTCCGACACCGCGTGACCTTGCTGTCTTTCAGACCGCGTCGCAGATCTTCAGAAAATCCGGCTTGAAAGGATTAAGAGCACGTGTTTGGTCCCAATGCTCACACTAAGTTGATTTCGTGGTCCCAGCGCAAGAAATTCAGCAACTGCTTGTCGTTTCTCGCCTTCCAGGTGACGTGATACAATTACCACAGAAATTCTTCCTTTAACGTTTTGGTCAGCCACGGCAGCAGCGGGATCTTTTTGTAGCATACAGGCTGCAAAACGAAGCCCATTGACAGGTTGTCCGTTTCCAGGCAGTCGCCAGCTGACCTTCAAACATTCGCTCAGAATTGTTCAGGTCCACCGACTCAGGCTCAGGCTCAAAACGTGCTGTAACCATTCCCAATTTATTTTGGGCTATTACGGCCTCGCAGTAGTAAGGTAACACAGCGGACAGTGGTTATCACGCGTCATATCCACGAATAAGCACACACACATACACAAACACACACGCACACGCACACGCACACGCACACGCACACGCCACGCACACACACACACACACACACACACACACACACACACACACACACACACACACACACACACACACACACACACACACACACACACACACACACACACACACACACACACGTACGCATGCACGCAGGCGTCCAGGGACCTCAAGCATAACAGCAGAGCAGCGGAGCAGCGGGCGGCCAGCAGGGCCTGAAGCAAATTTACATGCACCCGGGTGGCGGAATGAATGCGATTTATTGCGTTGGGGATGTCATTTTGACAACCTTAATATATCGAGAACTAAGGGAGCTAGATACCCCAAATTCACAGGGTTAGTGCAATTCTGCGTGGACTCATTTGTCTGAATTTTTACATGCTTAGTTTGTGACCTTTGGGTAAACGAAGGTTAAGTACATTCAAGCTAGACATCGGTGTCGGACATGCTACCATACAAACTCACTCATCCAAATTTAACCTAGATACCCTTATCGAGAATAATCATGATCAAGGCGATTCTAGGTAGATGGCCATATCTCACACTTAGATTACGCGTTAATATGGTCACATTTATAAGCCTTAAGGGAGGCTGACACAAAAAATGTACAACACATTTTGAGATTACTTTTGCATTTGGATTTAGAATCATCGCTCAAGACTATGCTGAAAGGCAAATTCCTGAAAGCAAAAAATTTACACAGGCCATTTCAAATCAGTGACTTTCATTAATCAATCGTTATATATTATGTTAACCTCCCTGTGATGAAGAAAGCAATCAAATAAATTATGCAGTTTAAAAGCTCTTTGGTTTTGGATCTCGATCTGACTTTCACGACTGAGTCAGGATCTACCAAATGAGATGCAAATTGAGCATATAACCTAAATCGTCTACTTGTTTATTGGAAACCATCTCTAAATTGCATGACTTCGCTTAAAACCCAGTTACCACATCGCTTCGGAAGATGCCCAAATCATTGCCTTTGTTGACAGCTGTGGCCTGATTTTGAACCACTACAAGTCAATGATCTTTGAAATTATATGCTTTATTTTACGCCACAGTCATTCGGTAATCCACAGCCACATTGAGTAAAGTAATTGAACACCCATGTATCACTCTGCTCAAAAGTTATTTGGGAAAACCCACAGAGGTCAAATTCACCTCACTTCACGCAGGTACGGGCTAATCCCGATCCCTGTGCAGCTGGTGCCTCAAGTGGAGACTACGGAGAGGTATGGAGAGCCGCGACAGCCCATCTCCGCGGGAACCTGAGCACACACAACCTGCCGTGCTGTCTCGCGCGTCGGCCACGGATCTCCGACACGATCCGAGCTCGCTGGCCAAGATCTCAGACTCGCCCAGGCGGCGCACCTGGCATCTTATGCTCAGGGTACAGCGCGAAACGAAATTCACAGCACTCAGCCAGCCCCAACTTCTCTAGCAGATTCGTTGCATGACCAATGGTCAAACTTACTGAGACCAGCAATAACTTTTGCTGGGCAGGTCTTTGCTGAAAGGAAGTGTGTCACATCTGTGTGGGTTTTTAAAAAAAATAGACATCTTGAAGACCTTTCTTCTGTTCACAATTCTGCCCTTCTTAAGACCTAAGCCCCTCTTGTTTCTGAGCTATACGTCCGCTAAAATTGGAAAAGATATATGGGCGAGAGTATGTCAAAGTCACCTTGGTATTCATGAGGCCATAATAACGTTATCCAGATCATGATGTTCCATAAGCCATGCGACGGTCAAAGCCAATAATAGTATCATCGTTGAGGCGTTCATATCTGGCGTTGGTGGGCACGATTTGTAGATATAACGGCCGTTAATTGACCTTCGATCAATGTTGTGCAAAGTGCGATAACGTAATCGAACCATGGCGTGTTGAGCAGCATATTTACTCAGCAGAGAATTGTGCTGTCTAGAACATTCTTACCTTTAATACCTTTAATCGAAGAGAGGCTTTTACCTACCAATTTAGGGCATTGATACAATTAAGACATCCCCTTAATCCAAAACATGTTCCTCTGCGAACCATTGCCGTATGTCAGGACATAGCAGCGGGTCTGCAAGTGAGCCAAGTCATTGACCATCGCGAAGATGATGGAGGGAGGCAGGTAGTTCATCACCGCGTTTATTTCAATCCATTTGATTGAAACCAATTGTCAAGGAAAGCCAGCAGATGCGTTATCGTAGCAACAACTATTGGAAGCCACAGTTATACCCACTGATAACATTGAGGACGACTGGTGCGCCTTCATCAAAAGGACTGAGGTCGCTGGCGAAGGCGCAATAGAACAGTGGTCTGAGGGTAGAGTCCTAGAAGATGCCGATGCTGGTTGGGATCGATTCAGATGCTGGAGCGTCAGTGAAGTAGGCGTGGTTGCGGAGGTGTGCAGAAAACCAAGAAATATCGGTTCATGAAGACCCAGTTTAGCCAAGTGTTTTGCGTGGTCGATCACATTTGTTCAAATACAGGAGATGAGGCAGGGACATCTCTTTCCAGTGGTTGACGGAAAGAATATGGTCAGATATGGACATCAGCAAGATTTCCGTCGTGTAACGGGCACGGAGTGCGTGCTGGGTGGGGAAAGGAGTTGGTTCTGGGACCAGTAGTTGTAAAGCCGTTGGTGAGCGGCCCCTCTACAATCTCGACAATGGCAGGAGCGATGTAAGTTGGCCAAAGGCTAGACGAGTCTGAAGGATCGCCGTGTTTATGAATCGGATAAACGAGGAAATCAGTAATCAGGGACAGTAGGGAGAGAAATCATGCAAATGACCGAATGCAGGAACACTCAGCCCATCTTTGCAAAAGACAAACCATACGGATATTTATCGATGCGGCGAGGGTAACGATATTGGACGATGCCTGTGAATATCTACAAAACGTGCCTCACATTCGCGCAAATTTCGCAGTCACACACCAATTTTTGAGAGATAAGACGCAAGTTGGATGTCGCAGGGTCTTGCCAATTCGTGACAGTTGCTGATAATAACATCGGACACTGAACTGGAAGAAAAGATCAATGATTTCGCACATTACGACATCGAGAGGCCCGGCAGAAAATGTGTGGCCGCTTCTTAGCAGGGTCCCAGGTCTGCTTTAAGAAATTCACGTTAAGTCACCACAGATTAAAGCAATTGTAGAAGATGGCACCAACGTTCAGAAGAGGCGGCTACCAGACCAGGAGATAACCAGCTAACAGCCATCGAGCTCATTGAGATTGGCGCATGCGGGGAGACCGGCACTTCACCTCCGTGCAGGTCACATATCTTGCCATGCATGAATGGGTTCTTGAACTTGCACTTCATGATGTGTCGCCGTGATAGTACCACAGTCACAAATCAGTGCGTCGTGATAGCGTCAGAATCACAAATCAGTGCCTCATCACGCGGTAGTATGGCATTCAACGGCACAGCACACTTGCAACACGACAACGTATGACGACTGGCCCTTGCCCTTTCAAACACATTCGTGTCCACGAAGCGACAACCCACGTCATATTCATAAAACCAATCGCTGCAATCACGGCGGCCGATCGGTCCCGGCGCGTCTCGGTTTGAATCAGATTCCGAGATGTGCAGATCAAATTCTGCTGGTTAACCTGGAGGCCGATCATAACACGCATGGACAATTTTTCCCGTGACGTTATCAGCAAACTAATGCATGCGACACCAGTCAATCGGGCCAGACAGGCCAAACATTCAAGCAGCGCACCGATCATGCATGTGATCCCAAATTGATACTATCTTTAGCTTGCTCTATGAATGACAATCGACTTAAAGGGAGAGTCCCACATTTTTATGGGGGTTTGAGCTGAAATGGGCGTCTTGAAGATCATCCGGTGCAGTTCATAGCCCTGACCTTCTTGAGACCTAAACCACTCTAGCTGCTGAGCTACACGCCCGCGGAGGTGTACAGACTAGTTCGAAGAGACTATTCCACGGTCAACCAGGCATCCACGATGCGTCTTTAATAACGTCATTCAAATCCTGCCATTCCGTTGGCCATGCGGCGATCAAGGCCAATATAACTATAATTGCCGATTCGTTCATGTCTGGTGTTCGTGAACACGATTTCCAGATACAAAGTACGTCAGTTGGCTTCAATCAGTGTTCTGCAAGGTACGATGACGTAATCAAACAATAACGTATTGAAGAACATACTTATTAAGCAGAGAAAATGCGCTGTCCGGAGGAATCTTTTCCACTTAAAAAACACCGATAGTTTCAAGTGAGCTAATTTCATCATATCTGATGCTTGCTTCAAGATCTGCAAATGTGAAACATTGCCTACAAATCACTCGCGCATATGACGCAAGTCCAACGATTGAATGCTCGCGCGGATACCATTCCGTTTTGATGCCTCGCAGTCCTCCACTGCCGAGGCACCAAGCCGAGGTTTACGGGTGACCTGAGCACCAGGTCAGGGCATTCCCCGGCGGCGAGCGCCGGGGAATGCCTGACTGACTGACCTGACTGACTGAATGACTGCAGACAATGACTGACTGACTGAATGACTCAGCGCCTCCAAGGATGCCGCGAGCGCGACCGGGATTGCTGCGCGTCTCCGGAGGTATCGATTCCGGGGGCTGAGATTGCTGCACGTCTCCGGAGGTATCGATTCCGCTGATCTCCTTACGGTCACGTGATGACACAATCGGCGTCCGGATTGACGCGGTGTTCGCTGCGGTGGGCCGATTGCATTTGCGCCGAGCGGCCGCGCTCCGTGGGGACGACCGCAAGGGTGAGGCACGCGCGGCGCGGGCGAAGCGTCGCTCCATAGCGGGCGAGTATCGTCCGAGTGTTGACACTGGCGCAACGCTGTAAACGCATCACATGAGTGCAATGCTCGCCTCAATTTATGGAATCAAGCCGTTCGAAGTTTGCGCTTTTCACGGCGAGGTTAGGGCTCTGCATCGCGCCGGTATCCAGGAGGTTCGTTCAAATTTCTGACTAAAACGTTAGATGATGTGGGCTGGCGGGAATTACCGCTCTAGGCGAACCGGCCAGTTGCTTGTCAGATCAGGTATGGTCAGGCACGGCCTGCCTTAACAGGATTAAGCATGACCTAGTCGGTCGTGATCGCGAAGACTGTTGATGTCGTAAGCTCCACAAATCCCCATAAGCCCCAAACTGGCGCCAAACGTGAACGGCCACGTTATACGCATATGGCGAAGACATGCTATTTTACACAAAAAGGCTCTGAACCTTTCTCATGCTTTCATGCGCAATGTTGCAGGGCGTATTCTGCTCAGAAGTGATATCAGCTGTTGAATGTAACTGTTTCCTGAGTCAGGCGCAATCCTGGCGCACGATTTACCACGCACGAAATGCATTACTACGATTCTAACTGTATACCACGGGCAGACGTTCCATAGAGCCGGAGCTAGTCTGTGCTACAATCGTGTTGCATCTCACATCATACAGCACCCTTCTCTCACCTATGACGCCATCAGCGAGACTTTCACACCGTGGGCGCAGCCAGGAAGGAGGGGGAGAGTCTCCCTTTCGATTCGGGTCGTTTGTTTTGACGCCATGGATGGCTCCTGACAGGCAGATAAAGATCAGCATTGTGTGAGCTCAGTAAAAGAGTTCTCAGTGAGCTCCGGCCTCCGACAAGAAAATCCGGGCTGCGTCTCGGTTCCAATCGTACCGTTCAAATCTGCTTCGTTTGTATACAGTCATGCTCAGATGAACCGTGTGCTCGCACTTGGTGTGCTATTGCAAATGTACGCTCTACCCAGCAATGTACCTACGCTCTACCACTCTCTTCCTAATCAGAAACCAACTGAATGACACTAAACGAGTTTCAAGTGTGGCACAAGAGGCAATGCTAATTCGTTTCAATATTGTTCGCGTTTCTTTCACAAATTGCACGCCTTTCCGCCTCAAAGCAAGGTGGCCCCGTATGAAATCACGAAGTTGAGCGCGGGGTAGTGTTCACTGCCTGACCGTAACCGATTCTCCCAACGGGTGCGTTCGATGGTGTGAGCGCGTGACCTGCTATCGGGTCGCGTTATGCAACGTCGGGGCACAAATGCTGCAACGCGAAAGGCTCTGGAAATGTGCGCGTGTTCTCGATTGTGAGGACTCTTGGCCTGAGGTCAGGCGCTCCTTCAATGTTTGGAAATGTGCGCGTGTTCTCGATTGTGAGGACTCGTGGCCTGAGGTCAGGCGCTCCTTCAATGTTTGGAAATGTGCGTGTGTTCTCGATTGTGAAGACTCTTGGCCTGAGGTCAGGCGCTCCTTCAATGGCTGATTGTCGCCGATCACTCTCTAGATTACACCATGTCCCGGAGCACTCCGGATTTCTGGGAGTCGTCTGTCGCTCCCAGATGCACTCAATGGTGTGGCCGTGTGATCTGACATCTCAGAGCCCTCTGTGTGAACGTCTGACCGCGTCGGCCACTCTCCAGATGTACTCGATGGTGTGGGCATGCGACCTGATGTCGCGGACAGAGCCGCTGGACGTGTTCATCCTGCTGATCGCCTGCATCTGCCACGACCTCGACCACCCCGGCTACAACAACATCTACCAGGTGGGCTGGTTCGTGTGGAGCCCCGCCGGCCAGCCCGGGCGTGGGGCTTGCTGGCACCGCTGCGCGACCGGTGTCGCGGTGCCTGCTGACCCCTGCTGACCCCTGCTGACCCCTGCTGACCTGTGCTCGGTCTCACCCCGGGTCTGCGTGAAGCATCGTTTGTGCCTCCACGGCCAGACGGCGATGAGAACAGCCATCATAGACGGAAGGTCGGCGCTGACGGACTGTGACTGCCGTTCAGCGATAGAGGCTGTGGCGCCAGCACTCCGGACAATCAGGGGCCGTGTTCAAATTCCGCTGCGCAAGGATCAATGCGGCCAGATGTCTATTCACAAAGTTTCGCCGCAGCAGGGGATGACTCGGCCGGCACCGCTGCACGGTGTTCGTAGTTGGAGGACGATGACGCAGGGAACGCGTCGGGAATGCGTCACGGGGATCCCTGCGCAGGGACCACCGCGCCGTGGCCGCGGCACAGAGGTGCTGGTCACCGGTCAGAAAGCGCACGTCACGGACTGGCCGCTGCTCCCCAGAGCCAATCGGTCTCCGGGCGGAACGGGGTCGACAGCGACACCCCGTCGATCCCAGGCCGCCACGACAAGAGTTCGCTTTCACGGCGCGTGGCGCAAACAGACCGCGCCGCGTACCGGCTGCAAACAGCGGCAAAAACGGCGCTGATCGGCGGCAAGCGTGGCGCGCTGTACTATCTTGCCGGCCGTCAGCTTGCTCGTCAGCACAGTGCTGACACTCAGCTGTCTTGCCGACTGTCGGCTAGCCCGTCACTATAATGCTGACACTCTGCTGTCGTACAGACCGTCGGCTGGCTCGTCCGAACAGTGCTGACACTCAGCTGTCGTACCGATGATCGGCTGGTCCGTCAGTACAGTGCTGACACTCAGCTGCCTTACCGACCGTCGGCTAGCCCGTCAGGACAGTGCTGACCGTCTTACCGACCACCGGCCGACCCGTCGGTGCGATATTGACAATCTGGTGCCGTTTAGGATGCCGGTCTGTATAATATCAGCCACAATATCTGACATCGCTAGACTATTCAGAAAGTGCAACGCTTCAGCAAAATACGATGGTGTAGCAATGGTAAATTTCCGATGCACAGTGAGACCTGTTTATTTTCTGTGGTGATATGTTAAAAAGTACAGCCAGCATCCTTCTTCGTAGCTGGCCGGCGCGACGGTGCCGTCTGCTGCCTCCCTATCCTATGTCATCAATGCAGCAATCTGCCGACGCTCGCGGGCATAATTGAAAAATGATGCATCCCTCTGCCAGAACAAACCTAGTAAAAGATTATTGGCTGGTTGTATAAGGCAGCTGCGCTGCGGTAGATGTAAGGGTTATTTTTGTGGGGAAATTGTGCCTACTGATGGCAATCATCATGGTGGTGGAACAGACCGGCAATAGCATCGTATCGGGGAACACTTCCGCATAATCATCTCCAATACTGCCGGATCCGCCAGCATGATGTCTGCTGCGCCTTGCGATTACCCTTCAGAGGCTCGCGGAGGCGGACACGTCAAACTCACTGGCATTGGATCGGCTTGGGGGGGGGGGGGGACCATTATGATTATTATTGCGAACTTTGGAGAAATCCAGCTAGTGGCTATTCTAACGCCGCGTCAGTGAATACTACGTAGATCAACACAGAACACGCAACACAACAAAACAATGCGGGAGACGAACAGTAAGGCAGCGACTCTGAAGCGGTCGGCTATCGCATTCGCGTCGTGCCCGTTTGTGCCATGACATTGTCGATTGATGTCATTGACATGACATGACATTGACATTGTTGTCCTGCTGATGCCCTGTGCCGGCGCCATGACCGCGCTTCGCCCCCAGCCATGCTGGTGGCGTCGCCGTCCCCGACAGATCTGTGGCCCGCACGGCACTGCGGCAGCGCTGTGTGTGTGTGTGTGTGTGTGTGTGTGTGTGTGTGTGTGTGTGTGTGTGTGTGTGTGTGTGTGTGTGTGTGTGTGTGTGTGTGTGTGTGTGTGTGTGTGTGTGTGTGTGTGTGTGTGTGTGTGTGCGCGCGCGCGTGCGTGCGTGCGTGCGTACGTGCGTGCGTACGTGCGTACGTGCGTGCGTGCGTGCGTGCATTGTGCGTGCGTGCGTGCATACGTGCACACGTGCGTGCGTGCGTGCCTTTCAGTAGCGTCAACAGCTGTGGCTATTTCGTCCGGCAGGGCCTGCTTCAAACGAACATGAATACAGCTATTACCCGAGATATTGGAAATGGTCACTGTAGAAGCAGACTGTGTCGAACGAGCACTGTGTTGTTGAACTGCAACGAGAAGACTGTGATGAGGGAACAATGAACGCTCCCCCCCCTCCCCGGCCGCGGACCGCCGTCACCGCACCTTGTCCTCTCCGGCAGATCAACGCCGGCACCGACCTGGCGCTGCGCTACAATGACGTCTCGCCGCTGGAGAACCACCACTGTTCGGTGGCGTTCAGCATCCTGCACGAGCCCGACTCGAACCTACTGGCCGGCCTGGACGGCGAGGACCAGCGGCGAGCGCGCGACGGCATCATCCGCTGCATCCTGGCCACGGATATGGCGCGCCACAACGAGATCATCGACCAGTTCCGAGAGGTGCTCGACGAGTTCGACTTCGGCGAGCCGGTGCACGTGAATCTGGTGAGCGGAGAACGCGGGCCGGTCTGATGTGGCTGAACCGCTAGAACTCCCATCGCCCTGTAAAGGACGCGACTGGTGTCGTTTGTCCATGTACCGTGCACGATGACAGCAACAATACGCCGAAAGATGGCGTAAGGTGCTGAAATGCTCTTGTGGCATAGTTTTTCGCTTGCCTTGTAGCCATGCTTATGTAAACAAGGAATGCAGGCAGACATATTTTACTAACGTAGCATTTGGCTATGCAGGCGCAGATGTTATGTCGTGACTCTGTGCCTGTAGCACGTGCACTGATAAGATCACAGAACTGGTTTAGCGTGATGACCATCGCCAGCGTGTTTGTTTGGAGCTACACACGTCATCGGAGTTGTCCTTTCAGCTATCGATGGTCCTCATCAAGATTGCAGACATATCCAACGAGGCCCGCCCCGTTCCAGTAGCGGACCCTTGGATTGATTGCTTGCTACAGGTACGACATACGTCGTCCGTCGACACTGAGTGATGAACATGTTAAAACAAATATAACGAGCACGCGGCCTATAAGGAGTTGTGCAGTAGAGTGTGGCTCAGAAATGAATTCGGCGCAATTCTGCAACGTCCAAGTGGCTGCCAGAAAAATAACTCCACGCAATGCTGCATAGGGCATGAAACCAGTTTGCCGGATATTCGGTTGAAAATGTCGAGACTGAAGGATGTGGTGACGGCTTACCGCACGAAGCCGTACAGTTCGCACTGTTCCAGGCGTCGCACAAAATTGACGTCTGCGGACCATCGTCGTCAAACGAAAAAAAAAAAAAAAAAAAAAACCGGAAACGGAGTGCATCATTGTTTACCAGCTGTCGTGTGGGCATCCAGCTACCGCAGCACTATTTTCGAGCGATGCGTTGTAAGCCTTCCCTCGATGCCCGTGGGAGTCAGTTACGCTTGACATCTGAGGCAGCGCGAATAGTGTGATTTCGATGTGTGGGGCTGCGTGTGGTATTTTCCTCTAACACAGTTCTATCAACTGATGACATAGAATAAGAAAGTGATCACATTCCCATCAGCCCTATCTGTGGCTCAGAATGCGAGCTTGTGATCAGCGTTGCAACAATCTGATGTCGGTTCATTCGCGGACGTGATGACCTTGCCCGCTGGCGCAACCTCAGAAAATGGGATCTACCAGTGATGCGATTGACAGGATTCTCATCAGCGTCCATTTATGTTTTGAGCCCTCGCGGGTGAACGCGAAAGAAGGGGTTTTTCTTAGCGATTGGCACTGTCTCCATCAGAACTCTTCGCCGTTCCGCGCTTTTACTGATGAGCATAAGTCAGCACTTTGCTTAGATGAGGGAGCATTGATCCGTAAAACAGTATCGCAGCTGACCTGATTGTCTCGCAGTTGTAGTTACAACTGTCATTTACCAAGACTTTGACATAAATTTGGCCTGGAGTTCTATGCCGCTCCTCCTGCCCACAGGCAGGGGAGCTGCTTCCTCCCCCCCCCCCCCTCTCGAGGCTCATCGTATGGCATGACTATCGTAGTGAGCGTGTTCTAACATGACCTCAGGAGTTCTACAACCAGAGCGACCGTGAGAAAGAGGAGGGTCTACCGGTGACGCCATTCATGGACCGAGAGAAGGTTAACAAAGCGGCTTCCCAGTGCAACTTCATCTCCTTTGTGCTGATGCCGCTCTTTACCGCCGCGGCGGAACTGCTGAAAGAGTTGGAGGTAAGAAAGAGCCTGCCAAAGGAGTTGAATTGGACTCGGGATGCGTTATGGAATCCCTTAGATGAAGAACTTAGAAACAACTGATACTAGAACGTTAGTACATGGAAGTACATGGAAGTAGTTGACACTGTGTCTGAAGTTGCTGTAGTGTAGGGTGGAAGTACATGGAAGCAGTTGACACTGTGTCTGAAGTCGCTGTAGCGTAAGGTGCCGTTTAGATGCCCCGACGTCCTGTCAAAAGAATAGAAAGTGCATGCATGCTATCTGGACTACGGAATCGTTCCTTGGTGCGTCGTTTCATCTGTCATACTGGTTTCAGTGCGAACCACCAATCTTCACCCCTAATCCTGTGTCATTGTGCTGGGCACTGCGCACAGCGCATTTTTGCTGCGGCAAGCTTGGTGGCCTCCAGACTTGTGCTCCCCTTTGGATTTCACGGTGCGTGCACGACGGCCTATTGCAGCGCCGCACGCCGTGTCACGCGGCCGGGCCGTGTCGCTGCCGCAGGGTCTGGTGCTGGAGCCGGCGCGGCAGGCGCTCGAACACTACTCGCGACTGAACGACGCGTCGCGCTCGGCGCGCGCCAGCCTCGACACCGGCGCCCCGTGCGACGGCGCGGTGCCGGCGGCCGCCGCCGAGCCGGCCGGCGAGCCGAGACGCGGGTCCGAGGAGGCGCTCAACGAGGCGGAGGTCAGCGAGCGCTCGGCCAAGTTCAAGATCGCCACGCGCACCGACTCGATGTGTCGCCGCGTCAGCGAGGACTGCGCCGCGGTGGCGGCGGCGGTCGCGCCGGCCGCGGGCTCGCCCGGCGACGGGCAAACGATGCGGTTCTCGCGCTACTTCCGCTGGATGACCGCGCGCCCGGCCGACAAGCAGCCGGCGTGGAGCGGCGCGGACGGCGCTCCCGACTCGGTGGTCGGGCTGGTGAAAGCCCAGCGGCGCCGTCCGGCCTCCAGTCCCGGCGAGGCGCGCCTCGCCAACGGGCGCTCGGTACGCAGCTCGCCCGCGCGCCAGCCCAAGCCCGGCTACCTGCGCTCGCTGGTGCTCAGGAAGCGCGAACACTTGGTGGGCGGCCGCAAGGACACAAGCTAGGCGGCTGGGCGCGGCGGCTGGGCGTGTCGGGCGGTCCGTCGCGCTACAGACGCCGAGTGCGGCGTCGCACCCGGTGGCGGCGTGGCTGGAGCCCACGTGCCGTCAGTGGCGGTGCCGGCGAGCGGCAGGAGACTGGATGCAGTCAGCCCGGTCGCGCTGACGGTGCGGGAGTCGAGCTGGCCCGCTCCCGCAGGTGGCCCGAGGCGGATGTTCCGACACTTACGGTCGGAAGCCGGGGTCGCGGCCGGACGAGGAGTCGACAGTCAGTGTTTCTCGTCCTCACTGTTGTCACAAGCCGCGGTCCACTCTGGTGTCCTGTGAGCCGCGAGGGCTCAGTATATCAATATATCATGATCTCTTGGTGCGTCGAACTATGCCCTCCACCTCAGTGTTGCCCAGACCTCGCAAGGTTGTCTCAGCGCATTGAGCAAAGACACCTCACACGCCGGAAGTGTGTCAGAAAGTACTTACAATGCGTTGCCCGAACGTGCTTATGTCCGGTTGTGCGCATGGCAGGGAGGCAGACATGGTCGTACGAATGCTTCGGCTTGCTCGCGTGTGTTTGTATGTATATATGCGCTTGCCACTGGCAGCTAGCTTCGGAGGAGAGCTTTACGTCCCGTGGAGGAGGTGTACAGCTACGAAGGGTGGCTTCCGTGGCTATGTCGTCAATGTTCGTGGTTGGACGAGCGACTCCCCTATTACAGTGTGTTTTCGGGTTAACTCAGAGTATATAAGACTCATTACGATAGTGGATGGCAGACACCGCCTACAAACATTGTAGTGACACGGATCAGCTACTTTCTTGTGTTCCACCTTTCATGTGCTGTAACGTGACAAATGATAAGCCAGACTCGCTATTTTTGGCGCCCGTGTAACTTCCATGACGCATGTGCCAACAGTGTATTTTCATTAAGTGACAGTCCTCCACCGGAACATACAAATATGAATTGCAACACATATGGCGGCATAGCGTTTCCATCCATTCCTGTCATATAGGCGTTTATACCATAGTGATGATAATGCGACGTCTCGATCAAAACACCAAGAAAGATACGACTACAAACATCGTGTTCCAGTTTTTACTTTTTGTATGTGCACGCATGGAATTTGTGACCGCTGAAGAACACATATGAGAACAGTATTACATAACAAATGGGTAGAGCATGTCGTGTTTCAGGTGCTTCAACTGTCAAGCCGTCATTAAATGGAATGTTCCACGTAACGAGCCTGTTTCCGAGATGCACTACATTTCGGTTGGTGTATATATGCCATGACGCGTGCATCCCCAGACCAACTGAGCTGGACGAGGCGATACGATACGAATCATAAAAGCACGTTGCCGCAGATTTTGTGTCAAAGTACTCATTCAAGCAAGGCATTGGCTGACACATCGCGCATCAAATTACCGCCATTGGTCAGTCAATTTGCAAACAGGGTAATGTGATCGTCTGGTAGGATTATGACGTCACCTACCCTGCTGCGCCATACTGCGTGCAGTTTCCGCGGTGGACTTACTCTTTGATCTCGAAATATTGCTGTTTCCATTACCTCTTGACAAGGATCGATGGCGGAATCACTGCCAGCGCACTTTTTTGTGCTCTTTTGTTCTCTCCAGATACCCGCAAAGATGTAGCATTCTCTTTCATTGAAATTGGCGTGACTCAATGTTTTCTATCGAACGACTCCAGCTTCGGCGGCTGTTCCACACCAACTTTGCGAGCGTTCTTCATCCGTGATTACGTTTGACATTGCGTCCAAACACCATACATGTTCGTATTGTCACACAGGTGCTCTGAACTGATTGTTTCTGTGTCGTTGCTGCCACTGAATATAACTGGTATTCCCAGGGTGTCTTTTGCCGTTTTAATCAAGACGTGGAAGAGCTGAAGCGTTGCTGCATCTGCACTGAATGCAATGTACATTTCACCTAGGGGTGACACAAGTACATGTATCCCACATCCAGGCATGTGCCTAGATCAGAAAATTAGTCCTGGAATCGAGTTCCGAAATCCTGGACCTAAGATCTTTCGGAATCCAGGATCTATTCAGAAATTTGGAGAAAGGATCGTCCGGGATCCAGCACCTCATGAATAAAAATTTCTTAAACGTCTGGTGCGGACGTATTTTTGAACTTTTTATAATTGTACCGAATAGTTTTTCAGCCTCAGAACTTATCTGACGCCTTGCTGAACGATCTTAACGAACCTTTAACGCCATGACTTTCATCTTATAAAACGATCTCTGACCAGACAGTAACGGATTGGGTTCACAAAGTGAGAGCACATTTACATCCATATGAAATTTGTCTAAGCCGAAAAGATGGAGCAACAAGAAACTGATGCCAACGTGCTCACAGCACAAAACAATCGGGCAAGGCGAATTCAACGTTAAGACAGGGCAGAATCTTGTGCTTAGAGCCTCCGGTCAGTGATCCAGCCTATGTACCTCAGTGGTCAGTACAGTAATGAATTGTTAATATTCAGGCACCCGAGCTCAAGCTATGGTAGGGTGGAGCTGTAGATGGCTCTCACCGGAAGACACTAGGTGAGGATTTCGACCCTGACTCTGGAATAAGGACATGGGACTTATCTGGCTTTTACACGAAAGCAGATCTGTTCGTTAACAGAGAGGTTTTGTGCTTGATTGCAGCGTGCGATGAGCCCGCTCTTATTCTTACAAAGTTAATCCCTAAATCCCAGGCGTTTTCCATCCCCCGTGCTGTGCTTCCTGTTCCAGGATACACTCTGTGCAGCAACTTTGAACCCTTTCAAGCCAAGTTGGAATCAAGCCGAACTCGCTAAATTCCCATTGAAGCTGAAGTTGCATCGGCATGACCTTTTCAGGGGCAATTATGAATATCACTTAAGTTATCTAACTCAGACAAGCTGATCGTCGGCAGCACTTATCACACTCTCCCTGGCGGCAATCTGTGCAGCCCACCCGCCTTGCGAATTTGCTGGAAACTGTCTTTCACCGAACGCGCCGATTATCTAATTGCTGGAGACTTCAACATGCCACGGATCCATTGGGATACACTTGTTTGTGTTGGGGCTGACAATTATGACTCACACCACCTGCAAGCCTAAGAGGAGTGCTCCCCATTCACCACGTCCACCATGTATCCGTACGTCCGCCAGTCAGCATACAGACAGGGTGTACCTACGAAGTTGTTAGGTCCGATTCTTCAAACAAAGAGTGGTGAGTGTGAAAATTAATCTTTCTACCTAGTCTTTAAAATAGAGACCACGCCCTCTGAGACTCAGGCTGGCATGCTACACCAAACAGCATTAGCCAGACTGACAATAATGGTCTTAATCGATCAAATTTTGACAGGTTCGACTTACTTAATGAAGACAGAAAATGGCAAGACACAGGCACTTACGGGCTTGCTTTGCTAACCGACAGAGCTGACTCTTTTGCACATGAGAGCACATGAGAAGGCCCTTGATGTTCTTTTGACGATATGTGTTTGCGTTATTTCGGGTCACGTTCATCATCTTTTATGGGATTCCCTGGCTGATGGGATCTCTGACTGACAGGATTCCCTGCGGGAGCCAAGTGTGATGTGCTGGCTACCAGTGGCATATGTACGGCATGGAGAACAAACTCAATCTGTAACCCCGTTTTCCATGCAGCAACATGGGTGAATCGCTTCCACCTTATCGGAGGCAGGCCGGCGACCGCTCGGCCTCTCCTCGTCCTTCTTTATATGTGTGTACGTGTTGGAAGGTGGTAGTCGCAAATACCCTGAAAAACTCAATTTTATCTGTTTCCAGAAGCGGTCATAAGCCCACTGGGTGTTTCCAAAAATTTTGGATGAAGGCTGTTATAGCATGTACCGATTTAGGGCCCCATATGTGTCCAAGCCCATGAGGAACAGCGAAACAGTACCATGACTTGTCCGGGAGCATCATTTGCGAACGATCTGCATACTATGACAACATCAACAATTGTTCAGCGTCCAACTATGCTCTCCAAATTTCCAGTGCGGCTTGTTAAACATTAATGCTGTTAAACATTAACAGCCGTATTCCTCGCAGAACAACCAGAAGAATGGAGAGCAGGATGTGATATTTCGGCTACGTGCCTTTATCGACACGAATTTTCCCTGAAATTTTCCTTTCAATAAAGGCATGTAGCTGAAATATCACATCCTTCTCTCCATTCTTCTGCTTAGTCTACGAAGATTAAGGCTATAAATGCTGTCGCACTTAACAAACAAGCTTCAAGAAAACAGTTCTGGCTTACGCTGCAAATTCCAAACCTCTCTCATTTCACTGACACCACTTGTTCAACGCAGCTGCATTGTTTCTGTGCTACCACACTGCAGTGACTCCAAAACCCACGCCTGCGAACCACTCGGCGTGCTTCTTTCCCGAAGCAGCGGGCCCTGCCTTACGATAGCTGCATTCCAGCGGTCCATTCATCGTATCTTTTGCAAGTTATTATTCGTTCAATGCATTTGGTTCCTTCAACACTATGAAGCGAAGGGGTTCAAGTAATGCAATCGATCGTCGCTGTAGCTCACCTTTTACGTCGCAAGGAATGGATGCATGAGTGAATGACGGCTGTTGGACGCCAGTAACGTACAGCGCGTGAGAATATCGTCATTTTACTTAATATACTCACGGTAGCGACTGAGCAACCTCATTATGTGCTAAAATGATAGCACAGCATGTTTTCAGTAGAGTGGTTGAGTTATGCCCCCAAAATTATGCTCACAATACTGCTTATTTTGGGTTCAGCAGGTGTTTTCAGAATGAACCCTGCAAGGGGTAGGCCATGGACTGCGCCAAAGTCATGTGCTCAGCTGCCATATGATCCTTGTGTATGCGGAGCAGTGCTCTTTTCGTAATATACAAACACCAAACTGCACAAAAATGCGTACAAATTACATTATTTACGAAAAATATCAGCGATTGCTATAGACTCAGGTCACTGACCTCACCTCTTTCAAAAAATATAAAAAATATGTAGATCTATGTTGTACTTCTGTA